ATGCGGATTCTATTAGAGCATCTACACATATGAGAAATGATGAATTTTTCGTTCACAATTATGCAGGTTCTAATACAGATTTTCCGGTACTGGCAACATTTCGGTTTTTCGATTTTGCAAATCGTTCAGATTCTGCTGTTGAAAGTTCTAATCAAAATAGACTAGTTTTAGGAGAAAAATTTGTCCTAGTTGGAGAGATCTGTTTTGTCACAGTGAAGATTTCATTTCGACTTTTTAATCTGTGATTCACAGTGACAAGTCATAATAGTAATCAATGGTGGCAAAAATTGCATAATTTACAGTGTTTTCGCAAACATAACCAAATTCAGCTGTTTATTAATTCTTGAAAAACTGTTTTCTACTTTCAGGATTATATATTAACAATGTTTATTTGAAAGATTGTTGGGCTACCAGATTTAAGAGCCGGTAGTCCCCATAGTAAAATTGAGTCATTCAGGTATAGCCAATATACAGCCATGTAGAAAAATGTATATAAAATGTATACATGTTACTTAGCTCAATTTGTGTAGCACATCCATAATTTGGAGTCAAATTGGTTTCTTTAAGACAAAGTACTACTGGTAATAGTTTGTCAATTTCCAGTAATCCAGGTGGGCTACTAATTCCGAAAATTGGTAGCCTCAGGACAAGATTGGTAGTCTGTGTACACTTTAGGCTACTGTAGATTTTGAGCTTTTGTTTTCACTGATGTAAAGTGATACTCAATTAGATTATCGGATCAGATAAACTTGTCTTAGATTAATCTAGTATTAATATCCACACATGAAAATCATTTCAATCTGTAATTGGGGCTGAGCTTATAATCTACCCAGGTTTTTTTGTGTGTGTGAAGTGCATCCATTTATTGCTGTTATTTGAATAGCCTGTATTACCAAGTGATTATACATAGAACAGTTTCATGTCAGTGGTATTATAATGTACAATCGGATTGAACTGCTTTATATGTATTGTGCTCGTGCCAAGAAGCAAATATCAATGTGATAAATGATATAATGTGATAACAAAGTTGTAATCTAACTTGATGACACATTGGCTGGCTGGGTGGATGCTTATTAGTACTGCAAAATCTGTATTAGAAACTGCGACAGAAAAGATACGGCTTCTAATAGAGCATCTACACATATGAAAAATGGTGAATTTTTGGTTCTCAGTTGTTCAAAAGGAATGGGTGCGACTTCTATTAGGGATGTGGCTTCTAATACAGATTTTACGGTAAGAAGTATCCAACCTAATTACCTATGAGTTTCCAATACCATCCATCATTGGAATCCCCCTCCCCACAAATATCTATGATGACCCATTAAGTTTGAACATTCCCTATACTGTATCTGGGCAGCGCAGTGTTCAGGAAAAATTCTGCCATGCTTCTAAACAATAGCAACTCTATAAAGGTTGGTGTGGCCGATATACCTCTGGTGATATACGCGCACCTAAACAATAGGGGTTTCTAGTACGTTTTTTTTAGTGTTCTAAGCAACAACAATATAAGTGTCAACTAGTCCCCGAATATAAACACCTGTGGACCTTAACCACAGATTCCCCAACGTTACATCCGTTCAGCCACTATTTGGTGTTCAACCCGTGTGTATGATTGGTACTCAAGACCAATAACTGATCATGTGCTAGATGATTCTAACCAAATTTTAAAGACTTACTGTAAAACATGTTTAAATAACTACCGGTACATACCATTCTAGCAAATTTGACTCCATGCATGAATTACCGTAACTGAATCTTAATTTAGCTAAAGTGCCAACAATCTCATTGTGAGAATATCCTTTATTCTAAATCGACATCTTGAATTAGCGAAATTACAGATTAGCTAAAAAGACATGTTTTACAGTATTTCATGCTTATCAGCCTATTGTTTTTTTGTTCCCGTACATTTACGATACATAACGGCCAGTGGTCGTCGAAATTTCCTTGGTGATTGGAAGACGGTAATTAGTGTATGTTGCACATAGGTCAAAACTCGTACTTGCATTGTGGGAAAATCATTGTTTATCAACACAAATGTTGCTCATGTGCGGCGCGACAACCACTGCCCTTTACAGAGGAGGTTTCTGTCTCAGCCTTCGGGATTTCTCCGGGGAATCATGTGACACAATTGTTTTTGTTGTTTAAACTTATTCTGTCATTTCTCTTTTTAATTTATATACTGATAATAAATTTTAAAGTTTTACCTTGAGAAATTAATAATACAAAATAAAAATACTGATTTGAAATTATTAATAATGATTATGGTAATTCCTGAATTCCATCATTGACAGTAATCCTTTGAAGGTCGCCCTATGATGTGTACATGTAATTGGCTTGTTGACTGGTATTGCATTAAGTATATTGAATGGGCCTTGAACTGCATTGTGGGTTTAGTAGTGGAAACCTTCACCTGTATATAGAAAGCAGCACACAAGACACATTACATAGAACCCAGACAGTTGTGTTCAAGGTTGTGGTTGTCAGGAAATGAAATCCAATGAATCGTTTGTAAATGTCCCCAAGAACAATAAAAAACAATAGTCAACATGTACTTAGCATATGCACTTACAAAATAATAGGATAAGGCGTCATCAGGGACCAGACATGTCATTTAAATTTAATATTCATCATCAAGTAGTATGTAATAATGTACACTAAAATGACGCATTACGATTACATCACCATTCACCGTGGCTTCACCAGTACAGTGTTTAAATGGTTTTGTGTTAATGGTTGGCTATACCGTAATTACATTCACTATTCAAGTATGGTCAGTATATTGCAGCTTTGGTGTATGTTGGTGTCTTACATCGCTATCATGATTTGGTATGATATAATATACAATGTATTACAGTTGCAGCAATTATCTTCATGTATCATAATTGTTGTCTCCCATTTTCTGTCTTCTATCACTGATTATTAAAAATTCAGACTTTCAATCACGATCCATTCAAATATGTGTATTTTACTTAAATAATATATAATTACTGGGGCAGTTTATTTACTAAAACGGTAATCATATTAACACATTGTACACCATAAGAAATGCACTTTGTTTTGTTAGTTAGTACTTTCACACTTATATCAACATCAGAGGTGTCAACGTCAGAGGTGTCAATGTCAGCGGTGCCATTGGTCAAATTATTTCTGATCACCAGTTTGGGTCAGGTATCTTCGTCCGACTGGAGTCATATCTCAGACACTCATTGACCGATCTCACTCAAACTTTACACAAAGACAAAATGTCTTATAGATTCACCTCAAGTTACTAGATGATCTGAACAGAAATGGCCGACTTGCAGCCATAAAATTTGCTATTTCTGTTTCTCAAACATGCCTGTAGCTGTTTTTCTGAGATGTTGGATCAAAGTTGTATGATGATCTGCCATATTGAGTTATAGGCACACTTCATATTTTTGTGTGTAATTCAAACAAATATGGCCGACTGGTGGCCATTTTGTGTTTTATGGTGTACTTGCCAGTGTCAAATGGCCATAGGTATTTAATTTTTAAAAGTGCATTCATAGAAAACCAAGAGATACATCTGTGCCAACTAAAAGGCCTAGCTTATTACATTACATAGTGCTATGTATTTGATATAATGCCGTAAACAAACCACCAACAGTTCATCATTTCTCAAACATACTATGTGCTGTGACAGACATGTACCTCACGTGGTTTCACATTCTCTGTGTTTTTTTATTGCTATGCATTATGTTAAGCACAAATAAATGTAAAGACAATGATAAACCCATTGATCTCCATAATTTTTCTCAGCATTTTGTATTTTTTGTTATTATTTTGGATCAAATAAAAAAAAATCATATTAATGGGGATTGTGTCATTTTAAAGACTTGTTATTAACTTTCATTTCATGGCTTTAATTAAAACCTAACTGTCATCAAAATTACTCAACAACAAACACACGTGGGTTTGAATTGACATCTTCATGGCAATCAACCAACCAACCACCAGGATAGTTAATATTCATGTACATATGTACATATCAATTACCAAATAATATAAGCAGTCACCCATTCCCATGCATGGTTGATGTCTATTTCTTGTCAGTACCCCTCACTCATCATCTTTCACATGTAAATGTATAAAATCAGTCTCAAGAGGGCGCTCTATTGGGACCGTATGTCTTAACTGCACAAATGACATTGTCAAATAATGTTATCAGCTTGACTAATCTCGTCTGTGTATGCAGACAGCATATTTATAAAATTTGATATGTCAATAGTAGTGGTGACATACGCCAGCTATTCATAAACCATGTGATACCAAAAATAAACAATATCAATTTCCATAAGGACATACCTGCAATGGTAGGAATTATAAACAGGTATCTGTGTGTTCTGAATGGATTGTACTTTATTTTAGCTGGAATTAATTTTGGCTGAAAAATCTTTTTGGGTGTTTTGTATGGAATTCATTTTCACTGATTTTTGATGAGATGAATGTCAGACGTAGGAAAAAGAGTATATATTCGCTTATATTTTCACTGAAGCTTCCCTAAAATAGCGAAAATAAAGTATTTTACAGTATTATGCAGCTTATTTCCAGTTCTGTCTTTTTCCGTATATTGTGTTCAAGACTGACTTTTGTTAGCCTTTTCAAACAAAGATTTTTTAATTATATAAAATTTGTAGATATGAAGTCTACGTAATTCATAATTAAATATTATTCTTTTATTAATTTTTGTTTTTGCTATAAAAAAAAAGTGAAGTATTAATTTTCCTTATTTTTCTAATATTCTAAATTTTTTTTATTCCAGTGTGTAATTGTTACCGTGAATGTGTAAACGTGCAAATATATCCTACAGCATATACATTCATTGAATTTAGTTGATAATATCAAAACACAGATTATGTAATTGAATTCAATTGACTTGCCCAAGGATACAAGATAGTATTAGCAATAATGTTTTCATCACTACACACACCAAAGTGATTATTCTTGAGTACCTTACGCTTTTATTTCTAATTCTGTTTCAGTCTGTAAAAGTTGTATAGTAAGATATTTAGAAGAACACAATACGTGTCCAACATGTGGTATTGTGATACACCAAAGTCATCCACTACATTATATTGGGTAAGTGTCCAGCACACATTATGCTAGTACTGTAAAATCTGTATTAAAAGCCGCGGCTTCTATTAAAATGGTACAATGCAACAGAGGAGATGCGGCTTCTATTAGAGCATCTACACATATGCGACCTGGTGAATTTTTGGGTCTCGATTGTTCAAAAAGAATGGGTGCGGCTTCTATTGGGGATGCGGCTTCTAATACAGATTTTACGGTAATCATAATGGACTAGATACTGCATTTATGAGGTTGCAGAGCAGAAGTAAAGATGTGTGACTGAGTGCTGCAATAAAAGTTTTATAGGGTCTATTTAAAATAAATAAAATTGGTTAAAATATCACCAAAAAATAAAAATAGCGATTTAAAATTTATAATAACCATTATAGTAATTGGTATTTCATTTGTCTCAATAATGAATCTTATTTCTACCAATTTTCATATGTTCACATGTAAGGCATATAACATTCAGTCATGCTTGATACTATCCCCAACTAAACCTTACCCAACACACATTCTCTTGAGTGTGGTTAGATTTCAGCTCTAAATATCTTCCTGTGTTCAGCAGCTACAGTACAGTTCTCGCGGAAGCTTTGGCTTCACTTCAGCTTCACCTTCGCTTCAGCATCGCATCATTATGGCATTGTTATGGCTTCAGCATCGCTTCAATGTCGCGACATTAAAAAGTTAGGCGATTATCGCTTCGCTTCATTGTGGCCTCATTATGGCCACAATGTGGCATCAGCATCGCTTCATCAAACAAAGAAGTACTGTACTCATTTCCTCC